ATCGTGTTTCGAGATTCTGAACTTCTGCCTGCCTGCCTACCTGCCTGTCTGTCTGCCTGCCTGTCTGTCTGTCTGTCTGTCTGTCTGTCTGTCTGTCTGTCTGTCTGTCTGTCTGTCTGTCTGTCTGTCTGTCTGTCTGTCTGTCTGCCTGCCTGCCTGCCTGCCTACCTGTCTGTCTGCCTGCCTACCTACCTGCCTGCCTGTCTGCATGTCTGTCTGTCTGAATCCAAATTCATTTTTCCCTTCCACCAAGTCTGCATAACGATTTGAGTATACTATTGTTTTTCCCCTTTCCGCTCAGTCTCCATAACAATATGAGTATACCATTGCTTTAGATCTTAGGTGTTTATTAGGCCACGGTTGAACCTTCCCCAATGATGGTTCTATGCTGGGTCTCTCTTGGTGTTTCCCGTTTTCTTTTCCTTGACGATGCCTATATGAGGGCTTGATTTGGGGCGTGAGGGGGGGGGGGGGGGGAGTCTTTATGTGCGCTATATAAAATGGCTTCGCATTGCTCCCCAGGTAGCTCTGAAAAGAACTCTTGCGGTGGTAATGCGATCTCAGGAGACAGACCGGCTATCCTCCGAATAACGGGCACATATTATGGCGGCCAAAAACAGGGCCTCAGTCACATGTAAATTGCGAACTTCCGGCGACTTAATTTGCGAACTTCCGGCGACTACTGCCACCGCTGAGAGTATCCCGAACGCCGCTCACGCGGCTTGAATTGGGGCTAAACTAGATGGCTGAGACTCACAAGCAAAGCTGCAGGAGATGTGGAAGCCATCTAGTTTAGCCCAAAAAAGCGCCGCGTCAGCGGCGTTGGGGATACTCTCGGCGGTGGGGTAGTCGCCGTAAGTACACAATTTAGTCGCCGGAAGTGCGCAATTAATATGTGACTGAGGCTCTGTTAGAGTGTTTTTGCGGCCGCCATAATATGTGCCCGTTATTCGGAGGATGGCCGAAAGACCTAAATACTGTCCCGACCGGCGACGAAGTCGTCTACTGGCGAGCCAGTGGGCGACCTGGTCGCCGATATGTAAACCACATACCGCTAATTTTTGATTTTCTTTTAATTTCTTCGTTTCTTGCCATACTCCAGCCAGTTTTTACCTCTACCGGAAGCTGCTAGAAAGTTTTCTTTCCCCCATTTCTGAAAACATTACGTTTACTATGCCGACGACATAAACCTTTGACATTTTTAACAGTTGCATAGTTCTAGGTTATTTTGTAATCATGTCTTAGTATTGTTCAGTCACAGTTGCTAGGGTTGTTCGCAACCGGAGCATTCAGCCGGCCATTACACGGTAGAAAATGAAAGCTCTAGTCAAGATGAGATAAGGTTTTGGAAACTGAGGAAATCGACCAGGAAGAAGCACTGCAATCAGTGCCGGATTTGGGTATAAGCTTAGGCTTAGGGCTCTCACAATCTACAGGGGCCTTAAAACTTCAGTTTTTGTGACAGATGCAATTTCCTTTTCATTTATTTTACGTTCAGTTTTCTTTAAATATATTTTAAATTTATACAAATCATTTGAAATGTAACAAATGATTTCAATTATAACTTATAATCTGTTTTAGAGTTTTAATATATTATATTTATTATATAATTTCTGTGTTTTGCAAACGCGTTCTTTAATATTTCTTTTAATAAAAATTAAACGATGATATATTTACATTATCCACATATATAAAAGACATATATGTTCTAAAATTTTCTGAGATTAGCTGGTGTGATTTAAAAAGCTAATAAGGCCTTGACAAGGCTTAATCCGACCCTGACTAGAATACACTTTCACCAGTACAGGTGGGGGAGAGTTGTAATGTAATGTTGTGTTTGTATGATAGTTGTGCACGTTACTTGTGGGTAGAAGATAAAACATGTTATATTCTACTTTGCAACTGCCAGCCACAGTACCAAGCCTAACCAATCAGAGTGTAGAATTTACTCAGTCTGCTAGTTCTGCTGGTCTCAGCCTGTGGGTCACGACCCTTTTTGTGTGGAAAGAATGACTCTTTCATAGGGGACGCCTAAGTCCATCGGAAAACGCATATTCACTGAAGTTATGAAGTATTAACGAAAATAATTGTAATTTTGGCGGTCAAAGGAACTGTATTAAAGGATGGAAACCACTGTGCTGGTTGAACCAGACATGAATAACAATAGGATGTTGTTTCTAAAACACAAATATAACCATCAGAAAAAACTAGTTACAGCTCCCACACCATTATCATAGATTTTAACAAGTTAATGATGGTAAACGTGATGACAATTTTGTGTGTGGTGATGATATCCAATAGAAATGATAACCACCATGAATGGCAAATAAATGCATAACTTTAACGGAGGCAGCACTTACACACTTTGCATGAAACATAGACTATGTTGACTATTAAAATAACTGACCAGATGTCAGTAGTTTTCATCAAACCAAATGGTGCATTGCATGGGTCATTTGGACAGTAACATGTCAAACACGATGCATTGTTTTGGATTAAGAGAGTTAAAAAGCAATTACAATTATGTCATGCACTCTGTCCTAATGTTGTAATTTGTGAGTTTCAGTTCCTGTTAATTTCGTATGACCTGCCCAAGAAAAAAAAAATAAACGCAGAAGAAAACCCCTACTTCCATAGACGTAATATACTGTCAATGTGGCCACTGTAAAAACCTGATTTCATTAATAACTGATCAGATGTAAGCAAAGTGGCAGCTATGAAAGCCAGATTTCATTATTAAGTTTCACCAAATGTAGTTGAACTAAGATATCACATTATTCTATCTTTTGTCTGACCCTACAACATAATAAATATATTGATCTGTCTTTTGTCTCATCCAGGATGGATAATGAACATATCACATTGATCCATCTTAGGCTCTTTCAAGATGGAAAGTAAACAGTACAATAATCCATTTAGTCTTACCCTAGATGGATAAGGAACATATTACATTGATCCACCTTTTATCTCTTCAAAGAGATAATGAACGTATGCATTGATACATTTTTTTTCATCCACCATTGATGATGAACATATCACAGGGATCTGTTTTCTGCATCACCCTAGATAGACAGTGAACATATCACATTAATCCATCATATGTCATTACCAAAGATAGAAAATGATCATATCGCATTGATCCGTATTTTATCCCATCAAGAATGGAAAATAAACATGTATAGACCATCTTTTGTCTTTCCCAAAATAGATAGTGAATATGTCATATTGATCCAGCTTTTTTTCTGACCCTGTATTATTAAGCAGCCCATCAATGTGATCCATATTTTGTCTCATTCAAGGTAAATAGTGAACATATCATAGTGACCCATCGTTTGCCAGATTACATAAGGAACACAATACATTGAATATCTTGTGTTTAATTACTTTGGCTGAGTGAAGATTCTCTGAGCTGAACTTGACATGTCTTTTCTACTACCCTTTGTGAGGGACTGAAAAATGATTATTTTAATTTGGTTGTTGTTGTCTTCACACAAAGACTGGAAATTACAATATTAATTTATCTTTAATCTTACGAAAGTTTTTTTTTTTTTTTTACGTTACCTGAGTCAGTGATTTTGACAGTCAAATTAGTAATTATAATGACTTTCCTGCACTTGTAGAGATTGGATAGATGTCATGACATTTTGTTACTCATGTCATAGGTGTCATGATACTTCCATATTGCATCATTAGAGATTCTTTACAATATAAGCCACTTAAAAAGGTTAAACAAGAAACTGAACAAGCCCAAGCTTTTACATCCTGAATAGCAAACTAGGCTTGCCACCAAACATTCCCCAGCACTATATAAGTATGTGTTGGCTTCCTGGAGATAGCTAAGATGTTGCTTAGTGGAGTGAATGTTTATATTTTCTAAGTGCTGTTGACTGAAGTTTAGGCATTCATATATTTTCTATAGTGAAGCCTAGCTGTTCATATATTTTTCTATAGCGAATCTCAGAAGTTCATATATTTTCCATAGTAAAACTCATTGATCATAATGCTGTCTACAGCACCTAATAGATTCCTTCCAGGTGAGAGTAAGTTGTTGCACATATTTTCCTAATTTATACATTTTGGCTGAGGTAGGAAATAGTTTATTTGACTTTGAGATGGATATTATATAGTTTTTTTTAACATTTGTTATTATCTGTATTTATCTGACCAAACAACAAATGCCTGCTGAAGTTGGTTATGTTGGCAGCAAGGCATAAATATCACAGCCATATTGTAAATGGGCACAACATATTTACATCCTCAGATGAACGAAGAAGTAGAAGATATACATTTTACGAGTGTTTTTCATCATCCACTTAGGGTTAAATGTTAGTGGCATGTTCATACATTTCACCAGTGTTTTTTTCATCGTCCACTTTGGGTTAAAAGTTTGTGGTATGTTCTTTATTTTGTTGTTGGCATCTGCATTACCAGATGATAGGGTTGTATTGTGTTGTAAAGAGGCATGGAAATCACAGATGATGACAATGGCAACTGTAACTAGCAAGATCTGCTGGCTCTAAGAGAAGTTTTCTATAGACAAGCATTGGGTTTCAGAACTATTGTACCATCACTAGTAATCAGTCAGATGCTCATGTCTCAACGTGTCTGCTATCAATTTTTCTCCTTTATTCACTTTGTCTTCATGATTTTCCCCTTCAAAACGATCCATAACATTTTGTTAGATATCCTTTAGGGGACATCAAGAACCAACCCTCAGCACTTGTTGGCTGTTTGCAGTTTTCCTCCTCTAGTTTACATTCAGTAGTTTGCTCTTGTCACATTGTTTTATTGTTTACAGCAAGGCTGCAATATCTATGTCTTTTGGCTGTGAAACCCTAAATATAATCACCTTTTATGTTTATGAGCAGTGGATTCCCCCCCCCCCCCCTTTTCCCCCTTTTTTTTTTTCTAAATAGGGCTTTGGAACCCACAAAGGGCAAAATTTTGAACTTCTTAATTGTATTCACTGACACTAAATATTATTGTATTATATTTTTCAGACTTTCCAATGCTGGGTGTTTTTCAAAGCCAACCAGAGGTTTCTAATCATAGAATACCAATGGATTTCTCCCCTTACCTGCTGTCATCAAGTCCACCCACATCATCAGGCTTTGAACTCATGGGCTACTCAACTCACTGCTCCAATGGTCACATCGGATTCAGCCCATCCTCCTTTCACACTGGAGACTGTCCTGATCTGCATTTTCAGGATACTAAATCACCAGACAGAAATGCCAACTTAAATAAACGGAGAAATGGACCGTTGAAATCTATCATTATTAAATCGGAAACTTCCAGTGAATCAGAAGGAGATTGTTCCTGTCCTGAAAGTCCCCACTCACCCGGAAGAATTGCAAAAAAGGTGTCATTTGCTGATCATAAAGGTCTTGCACTAGCTCAGGTGCGCTTGGTAAAAGAAGGGTCTGATGAACCCCCTCATTTGAATCCAGAAATATTGTCATCATTGACCGAAGGTGCAAATGCAGACATCACTTGCAAACCTCCCATTAAGTTATGCTTCTCTCAGCCAGCGTCAGATTACCTTGCCTTTAGGGACAAAGTCAGCAAGAATTTAGTTGCACTAGAAAATGTCATTTTAAAAGATTATACAGTTGAAGGCACCATCAAGGTTAAAAATATTACATTTGAAAAGCAGGTGTTTGTGCGAATTTCTTGGGATGAGTGGAAAACATTCGAAGACATCAGCGCCACCTACATTCCAGGTCCTGGGTCAAGCTACACAGATTCTTTCGACACTTTCTCCTTTAAGATTGACATCCCACCAAATTTTGATGTCTCAAAGAAAATCCAGTTTGCCGTGTGTTTCAAGGAAAATGGCATTGAACACTGGGACAGCAATGGGGGCAAAAATTATTGCATAGTATCTGAGAATTATGGTTACAATGAGCCATCGTCTAAAGTATCTACAAAGAGCTCAGACTGGATTTCAGACACATTTGTTGAGGGGTGGAAAGACTTCTCAGAGTCCCAAGAGGAAGAGTCATCAACTCCGTACTACTGATGCAGAATTTTCAGAAAGAAAAAAATCAGTCATATATTCCTGGCCAGTCCCAAGACAGTTATCAACTCTGTACTACTACTACTGCAGATATTTAAAAAAAAAAAGTCATGTGTTTTCTGCTTTCTAGAGAAGGTTTTCCGCCACTGGAGCTGTTGGAACAATAGTGCTTGCATAATTGAAGAGATGCTGGCATGCATCTTTAGTCATGTATTAAGCAGAACATGTGATATAAAGAGGGCAGGTTAAATAAATGCGCAGTATCCTTTATTGAGGTCCTGCTTCTAGAGCTTTCACATCCATCTTGCGTGAAATCATTCAGGATTGTCTAGGCATTGTATGTCTGCAGTGTGCAGAAAGGCATTTTGTTATCCCAAAGACTTGTGTACTATGTCCATTGTATGCATTTATATAAAAATGTGTGTATGTATATATGTAAATATATATGTATGTTTGTATGTAAATATTTGTATGTGGGCGGATTAAATGAGGGAAACTCTTAAGTGTAGAATACTTTATTTGCTCAAAGTTGTTCTTTTAATTAAAACAGTACGGTCCTGATTTCCAGGCCTAGGATTAGAGTAACTTCCCTTTTCAGGCCTCCTTAGGTTGCTGGACTCTCCTATGTTGCAGGGGTGTTATGATATGGCTAGCTTTGGCTTACACTTGGCGTATGTAATGTTTGTGGGAGGTTGTGTTGTTATGAATCTGTTCCAGGCGCCGCAGGTGCCTGTGCACAAGTAAGAAGTACTTTAGGGGGTAGTGCCGCAGGTGCGGTGATTTTGTATTTCTGTGTTCTTTGGCGGTGGCTACCCTCCCTCCACCCCCACTCCCGTGAAAAAGAAAGCAGTTAAAAAGAGCGTAGAAATAGACAAAAAATAAAACCGTTTCCATACTCCCGAACCGTTGCGCAGGTAGCAGAATGTGAAAATATTCACACAAGCAAGCTGTGAGTAGGCGAGAAAAGAGGCAACGGTAAACCGTTCAAAATAAGGAAAAGATGGCTCCCCCACAACATAGGAGAGGTCCAGCGACCTAAGAAAGCATGAATGGCAAGGAAAGTTACTCTAATCCTAGGCCTGGAAATTTGAACAGCACCATTACATTACATTAAATACTGTTTTACTTATAAGCATTAATTGTTATTTATAGTTAAAAAAGCTATATATTATTTAACAACAGAACATTAAATGCAGTCCAACTTGTATGTATTGCTAATTAATTATAGTTAATCTCAAAGTTGTATACTGAATAATGACACATCAAATGTAGTTTAACTCATACATAATATTAGTTAATACTGTAGTAGTTACATTCCCAAAGTTGTATGTTGAATTATAATAGCAAACTAAATGTAGTTTAACTTATACTTAATACTAGTTAATAATAGTTATTATATTCCCAAAGGTGTGTATTGAATTTTAACAGGACACTCAATGTGTTATATTAGTTAATTATAGTTACATTCGGTCTAGTTTTGATAATGAATGAATAATAATTTAGTTGTGTTTGGTTATTTGGTTTTAGAATGTGTAGAAGAATATTGACAGAGAATTTGGGCTTTGATAAATTATGGACAGCTTCTGTACCAAATATTGTACCATATACTGTGCACTATAGCTAAGTACATTTGTTGCTGATGTACCCTTACATTCACAGGACTGCAAAGTGCATCAGTGTAGTACTTGGTGTGGCAGTTACAGGTTACCCGTTTATAATTTTTCTTGAAGCTTGAACAGGGTATCTAGAAATTGCCCTGTTGGCTTGGCATCTAGGCTGGAACTGAGTCACGGTTGTTTCAAATTTTCAGGTAGTAAACTGAGAGGGGGAATCAGACGTTTGAATAATTTTATCTTCATGAATTTGGTACTCACTTACATAAAGAAAACTAAAGTAACAGTGTTTTGTTCATGTAAAGTGTAACTGATCAACATTGTAACTTGCTTTGAATAGAATGAGTTAAAGCAATAATCATGTTGTCACCTAGAGTGATATACAGTTTTGTACTGACTTCATCCTTCTCTTTGTTTTGTCCCCTCTTGGCTGCTACCTGAAAGCTTGATCACAGAGATTACAAAATCTCAGTCCCATTAGTGTCCCTAGATAGCAGAAATAAACATATAACAAAGGCAATTACAAGCATAACTCCAGCATGTTTATGTGTTTTTAAGTAGTGGATGACACGACTCACAGAGTATGTTGAGAAAAGAGAGACAGGCATGCTCCGTGCAGAGCGGCAAGCATCGCTTCAGAGGTCTCAGGTAGTTAGCGTCCTTGGATATTTTCTCCAGATTATGCTGGTGTGTTGGAAATTGAGCAGGCAAATGGACTGGCTGGTTTTGCACTACTTGGAAGTGAATTGGTAAATGACTATGGCTAGATGTTGTGAGGGCCTTTTGGGAGTGAGTGAACAGTGTGAGGCACAAATAAATCATTATGGCCTGAGGAGAACGGCGCTGTGGAGAAGTTAGGGGATCTGGCCGACGCTCAACACTCAAGGGAAAGGCAAACGGATTTACAGTCAGACAGTTTCTGGTACCATTGGAACTGGAACTCTTTGCTTGCTGCTGAAGATAGGGATGAAGCGCTTATGGGAGTGTCCCAAGTGCTTTGATGTCGATTCTTAAATCAATATTCAACATTTATTTAACATTCAGTATGCTTGCATGTTTTTCAACAGCGGATGACATGCATCTGTAGATGCTAAGCCAAAAGGGCAAATCCCTGATATCCCATTCAGTGTCAGAAGAAAACATCATAATTAGGATATCTGTAAAGGCTACACCAACCTATTGTAACTGACAGTAAATGATCTTCAATTTTTAACTGGCTGGAGTTTATCTAGCAGTTGTTCAAACAGTTGAGAGAGCAGAGAGCATGTTTGAAGTACTGAATACAGCAGAGGGCATAAAGACCCATATTCTATAGGCCAGGGCTGTTCAACTACGTTTACCCAGGGGTTAGAATGAGGAAAATGGCAACTTTCACAGGCCAGGAGCCTGAACCGCTAGCAGAGAAACATCACAGTTTTGGCAGTGATCTGAACCGCTAGCAGAGAAACATCACAGTTTTGGCAGTGATCTGAACTGCTAGCAGAGAAACATCACAGTTTTGGCAGTGATCTGAACTGCTAGCAGAGAAACATCACAGTTTTGGCAGTGATCTGAACTGCTAGCAGAGAAACATCACAGTTTTGGCAGTGATCTGAACTGCTAGCAGAGAAACATCACAGTTTTGGCAGTGATCTTAACTGCTAGCAGAGAAACATCACAGTTTTGGCAGTGATCTGAACTGCTAGCAGAGAAATATCACAGTTTTGGCAGTGATCTGCAGGCCACTTGTGGGTTCAGCTTCTAGACCTCCAGTGGAATAGCCCTGCTATAGGCACATGAAATGCTGAAATATTCAGGAACTCTAGGATATGGCTTTATAAAAAAATAACAAAACAAAACAGGGCGGTGTTATCATAGTAGAGGCCAACTCAAGTATCTATTTTGCAAATTTATTCATAGAAACAGCCCTTACCTCATGCAGTGAAGCAATTCTGCTGACTAGTTTCAAATCTTACACACTACTTGCACAGACCTAACATTGTTTGAGGCATCTGACTGACATTTTTAGAGAAGCAGTTGGAAGATATATATATATTTTTAAACTACACAAGGTTGATAGGGGTTTTACCTCTAAACCATTGTTTCCCATAGGATGGTCTGCAGACACCTGGAGGTTTGCCTCCTGAACTTTCATGCCCAGGTTGTCCTTGATAGTTGATAGTCAGGGGTTTTAACTCTAAACCATTGTTTCCCATAGGATGGTCTGCAGACACCTGGAGGTTGTCCTTGATATTGTTTCAGCCATAATGCTGGTAGATCCTTGCTTTTTCTCTCAGAGTCCACACACTCCATCGCTGTTTTCAGAGCATTATACTTTTAACAACATAGAACAGATTTTCTGAAGTATATAATTTAATCTCTAGCTTAAACTGTCTGAAACTGTTCTTTCACTGCCAGGACAGATGATACTTTTTCTTTTTCTGCCTTCAACATTGAAAGGGTGTTTGACCGGGTAGGCTAACCCGGTCAACAAATGCCCACAGAAGTTGGATGTGTTAGCCGAAAGGTGCAACTATCGCAGCCATGCTGTAAACAGCCACAACACAATTACATCTTGGGATGAATGCAGAAGAAGAAGAAGAAAGGGTGGTTGTGTTGTGGTTTACAGCTAAGCTGTGATATCTGCACCTTTCAGCCCAGCACATCCAATTTCAGCCAATCCCTTACTAGTTGCCTTTTACATTTTCATTAGAATCCCCATTTTAGAAGGACACAAAGAATGATTCACTGCCTCCCACCCCTTTACACACCTTCTTCTTTACACCCATTCCCTTTATGCCACACAGTTCTTTATGCCCCTTCCCCAACAGATTTATTGTAAAAAGTGGTTAACTAGGGGTATGCTGAAATTGGATGAGTTTGGCTGGAAGATACAGATGTCACAGCCAAGCTGTAAACAACTACACACCTTGTCAGCCACCCCTTTAAAGGTGAACGCAGAAAAAGAACAACAAGGTTGTCATTTTCACCATTGTGGGAATAAAAATATTGAGTAATTGCTTGGGAAACCTGTATTGGCCTGTGACATAACCCATCAAAATGGTGCTAGTAATATATTTACGCTGTTCAGAAGTAACAAATTTATAACTTATGTGTATGTAAGGGAGACCTGTGTGCCTGTCATGTTGGGCAATCCTGGAATACTTTAGGAAGCACATGTTGCAGATAACAATTATTGGTGAAGTGTTTATGAAATAAACAAGTCTACCTCATGCTTTGAAGGAGCTTTTGTTTTTTTCCCATGTTATTGTGTTCACTTGGTAGTTTCTTCTGTGTTGTTGATTTCAGTTTGTTGCACCTAATTCTAATGATATATAAGAATAGTTAAATTTATTATAACTCAGTGTGTGATGTGTTCCTTTATAATAAACATAGTCTGATTTAAATTTC